GTTCAAATGTTGCATAGGATTTTATGGGAGATCTGGAAAACTAAGTGTTTTTTGAAGGGCATTCTTAACTCCATATGTTATACAGCAATCTGGAGAACTTCAAATGAAATTTATATTCTAGTTTGTTCTGTGGATAAGAAATGCAACAGTGTGTAAATGGCTTGCAATGCTTGCTCAAGATACATTCCTAGGCACTTACATACACTGTCACACAGTGATGGGCAGAACCCGGACCATGTGAAATCCTCTCTGTATAGTTTGTTAGGTAAAGAAATACTGTTGTTACAGTCCCATCTTCTCTTCTGTAGGCTCTGATGTCCTTGTTTGCTCAACCTGTCATTACCCACTCAGTCTCCCTAGGCTTCCAGACATTTCCTTCACTGATATCTAAGCAATCTCCATTGGGCCACTTTACCTGTGTAATCTATGGACTTGCTGGCGGCCTCCAATCTGCTGACTGTATTGCTTTCCATAGTCTGCATTGCCTCTGCTCCTGGCACAGGAGAGTTAGAGATCTTTGGTGGTTCTTATTTGCTAGGATAAGAGGGCTTGTAAATTCAAAGCCCAGCAGTGGGAAATGGAAGTGCTAGGAGCACCTGAAAGGTATGGATCAACAGGAGCAAAACAGAATGATAAAATCTGGTTCCTCAGAGGAACTCATCAACTGAAACTTTGCTTTCCAGTAGAACTTGTGCAAACAGCTTAGCTACCCAGTAAATCCTGTGGAGATGCAAGAACCATAAGGTTTTACCTGTAAAAGCGGGATGCAGCCCTGTGTCAGAAGCACAGGCTGATTTTCAAGTCCATCCAAATGTGGCATTGCTACAAAGGAGAAAGCCAGCTCTGGAGGGCTTAGCCCTGTATTACTTCAAGAGTTGCAGTGTTCATTTTCACACATTTTAGTTATTATATCAGAATATGCAGTGGGAAATACCCATCTGTGAAGTCACACTGATTTCTCCTACTCCTGGGATTACTCTAAAGAACTGAGAGTTTGAGTCAGACTCCTGGTGTTTTGGTTCCGAGCTGCAGATGTTGACTGCAGCCTTTGTGCTCTGTCGTGGATGGTGCATCGATGCTTTGAGCTCAGGCTTCTCTACAGCCCCCCACTTCACTGTTGGGCTGTAAGGCCGCTGTGTCCCTGCTTGCCACAGACAAGGGGAGATCTGGCAATTCAAGTTGAGTGCCCGGCTCTGCTGCAGGTGCCCTCTGTGGCTTTGGTGGCCAGTCCTGCAGTTCCCAGATGGTCCATTTATATGTTGTCAGTGTATGTGAGAGTACTTAGCATCCCTCCTGCCTGGAAAATTTCACCTGTTTTCAAGAGATAGGATCAGGGGGTCACACCTTCCACTATAAATTGCCTTTTGATCTGGGACACTTTCCCTCGTCAGTGTAAAATCCACTCAAAGCTCTGTCCCAGAGGTGGTTTTAAGAGAATAAAAGCAGCTTTACAAGCAAATTCCTCTTACAACAGTCATCAGCCATCATCATTTATCCTGCACACCATACACAGTGTTGTACCATGCCTGGCTCAAGGGTCCAAGGATTCTTCAAGTAAAAAATGTATAAATGTATCTAAGGAAAACTGTTCTTCTGCCATCTGTTCTGAAACCCAGAACCCTGCATACCTCTTGTCTGCTTTCTAAAAGGAAAGAAAAACGAATTTAAAAAAGCATGTCTATTTTGCCCATGTAATGTGGGTACGATACCATCTTCTCACTTCCCGGACATAAAGGAAGGAAAATGCAACTCTGCTCAACCAGAAAATTCTCCAACCAGTAATTCTTTTCTCCTGATCTAGTGAGCTCCTGGGGAATTGCAAGGGGGAGGGGGGGTATTCTTAATATTACTATTATTATGGTAAACTGCTCCAGGAATGGTTTCAACAAAAGAAGTAAACCTTACGTTGTATTCAGATAATGTACTTAACTTCTCAACAAGATTTACTAAATTGCGCGCTGGGAATTATGCAAATGAAACATTTGGTCAAAATGTTGCAGGATTACTGGGGGAAAAAAAAAAGAAAAAACACCTTTTTTTAAAAAAATCTCATTAAGAGTGCTAAAATTGCATGTTCTAATATCAAACACATGTGCCTTTGTGTGATGAATATCTCACTGGTAGTAATATGTTCTATTACGTTCCCTGCTCCATTGTCAGTGGTCTTTGCAACTTTCGGTGACAAGTGCTACTCCTTATATGTTTTTTTCTGAACACTTCACATTGTTGTATTCTTACTGGAAGTGGAATTAAGTACAGGCAACGGGCAAACCATTGTAGTATGATGGCAATTAACAGCAAATAATGAGCCATTGCTGAATATTTGCAACATATTTCTGCCTGTCTTTGTTTTGCTCAATGCAGTATAATTAGCTCATGGATTTTTCTTAGTATGACTGGGAAAGTTGTGTGGGTCTTATGATATAATTCATTTCCTAGATCTGTAATGATTTACATACAGACAGCTTAGACCCTATTAATGCTAATAAAAGTGCTGCAAGGACATCCTGTAGCATACACTATTAAATTGTACATAGCTTTCTTAGAGAGCTTCTGTTTATTTGCATTTCCTGAAAATAAAATATAGTGCCTTTAGCACTGAATATTCAAATCCAGCCTCCTTTTCCCTGTTCCTGTCCCTCTCTATGCATTTCTAATGCTTCTATCACAATGGGATCCGAGTACTATATGCAACAGGAAATAGAGCAGAAAAATGTCCATGAAGAAGTAAGTGGCTCTCCCCTTCTGTGATTCAGGTTAAAACTGCTTACATTTTAGTTCCTTGAAAAGAAACTGGTGTGCTGTTTGGTGCTTGTGCTCATTACAGCCACAGTTAAGCCAGGCTGGGGCTTGGGGCTGGCAAGACCCTCCCGTCTCCTGTGCTTCAGTGAGCAAAAAGGCAGGAAAAGTGCAGAGACCTTGGGTTTGGTTTTCTTCTCTTTTTCTTCCACCTTTGTTAAGGAAAAACTTTGTTAAGGATGGAGGGCTGGTTTTATCCTAACATGTTACAGGTCCTTTGGAGCTGTGCAGACACACAGCAATAGACAGACCCACAACTGTGTGTCCCATGTTACGGTTTCTAAGATGGGAACCCCACACTGGCTCAAACCTGGAGGTCCAGCAGTGGCTTCCTACATTTTCACTTACCTTAGGCCTAGCTACAAGTGTGTTCAGGGTGGGTTAGAACTTGAACTCCCTGACTTGAGCTATGCATTTGCCGCAGACATTCACTGAATTCAACTTTCAGGCCTTTCCTCCTGGCAGGTTGAAAGCTGACTTTCTGAAATGGGGGCTGTGGACTTCAGTTGTTGACCTGTTGTTGCCATCGTTAAAGCACAGTTGTACAAGCAAAGTTTGATTTTAATACACTCTTAGTCACCCACAGATTTGCTAATGAAAATTGGATTTGTTCATGTCTACTTGGGTCCCTATTACAGATATCCCCTGGGCCCCACAAAAACCTGTATAAACCATTGTGTGCATCATGAGGGCACTTTCACAGTGTCCCCAGTACCTCTTTTAAGTGATTATACCAGTGTAAGTCCAATCTGTTTTTCTTGGTACTAACAGCCTAAAAAGGAGTGAATCCTGTAGAGAAGAGACAGATGAAACTGTCTCCATTCCCTGACCTTCAGCTCCAGAAGTGTAGGTGCAGCACGAATCAATCCTGGCAGTGTCTAGTAATAACTGACATTATTAGCTGTTAACAGGAACAGACTATTTGGTGGAGGCAGTACAAAGAACACAGTGGACAAACTTGGTAATGATCAGGACAAAGGCATCAAAGGAGATTCGCAAGCCAGGGGACCTGATATTATTCTGCACCAACACATTCAGTATCTTGTCAGCCTCCCGCATCAGGAGAGGAAGAAATAGCTGTAGGTCACATATAGAAGGAGTGCAAGAGCAGCCCACAGTCCCATCCCAATTCCTTTGCCCAACAAAGCAAAGCCTCCTCTTCTCTTGGGAAATGACCTTCACTCCCCAAACTGGGGCTGTTTGGGGATTGCACGAGTCTCCTGCATCACACTGAGGCCACTCGGACTCCTCCAAGCTGCTGTAGCAGAGATGCTAACATGCAAGGTTTCTATTATCTTCCCACTACTTTGTTGTATTCATAGACCCATTGGGGAAAAATTTATGCACGTCACTTTTACACTGCCAAGACAGTTTGTGATGGTGCGGGGGGTGGTAATTTATTTGTACCTTGCACTTTCAGGAATAGTCATGCTGTTGCAAGAACTTCTTTCAGCATTTGATCAGAAAATTAAATTTGGGTTTAAAGAGATAGTCGGGGTTGCTAGGACAACGTATTAACCTCCCTGTTTTATTTTCTGCGCTCTGTATCCAAGGTTCATGTAACTCATCATGCTGCATTCCGTTTGTGGTGGTGTTCTCAAAGTATGGGAGGGAAGGGGTTTCAAAAGCAATGTGCCAAGCACACATTTCCTCAACAAATAGCCACAGGAAGTGGTACCATCCCACTGACATTCCTGGCCTTGTCAAGCCAGCAGATTTGGACAAAGAGGGAGCGAACAGCCCCAGTTCTCCAAATTTCATGGGCATATTTATGTGCAGTCACAGGGACTGAGAAAGAGGATGTGGGATCTTGCAGACAGCATTTTCGGAAGTGATTAATGCCTGGGAGGCTCCGGGTATGGCTGAACAGTTTGGACACTTTAAGGTGCCTGAGGTTTCAAGAACATCTAAACAGCATTTTTTTTGTGCATATAGGTTCTTCCCCATGCTAAGACAAAGAGTCAGAATTTCAGTGGTTCCTAGAAAATCGTCATGAATAAAATAAGAGAAAAATAATTGAAAATATGTAGAATATACTTTTCCTGGCTTTTCACCAATTCTTTGCCATACAGCTCACTTGTCAAAATTGACAGCAGCATTACATTTATGCAGCTTTCAGGCTCAGATCTTTAAAGTTGTTTAAACATCCATATGGCTTTTGTCCCAAAGTTATCGATTGCTGTCTTTGTTATTTCATCCAGATTCGTTCCGATAAGGACAAAGAGATCCATATCAGATACAGCATCACTGGAGTGGGAGCCGACCAGCCACCAATGGAAGTCTTCAGCATTGACCCTGTGTCTGGCAGGATGTATGTGACTCGCCCGATGGACAGAGAAGAAAGAGCTTCCTACCATGTAAGCATAAAACTGGGTTCACAAGCTCACAGTGAAACTGTAGCAGCATTGCTGGGGTCAAGGAGGGACACGCAGCTTTGAGAAGACTGGGGTTTTTGTTCAACATCAGAGCCCAGATCGCAGTTTGGACGGGCTCCCTGTTTCAGCAGACCTGAGGAGCTGACTGCACAGGGGTGCCTGGGCTTAACTGACAGTGCGAGTCTCTGTCTCACTCTGCTGGAGCAATTGTGTGTGTGTATGGAGACGCTGGCTTTGTTTCTGCTTTCTGTTAATGTAACCTGCTAAATCAGCCAAACCAGTGCAAATTGGCATTAAACTGATGTGCTTTTCAGACAGAGGCATTTCTTTAAAGTGGTGCAACTTCACACTGTTTTTTAAATCCATGCAAGTTTATGTGCAGACCAAAACCCCCAAAACGATGAGAAGCCGGTCTCTGTGTTAGTATGCCTTGAGAAAATATTAATTTAAGAATCATTTACTGCAGTTAAACAGGCAATAATTGATATAGTCATTTTTCATTTTAAATCACTTGGAGTTGTTCAGGCAGTATGATGGGGGTGTGTCAGATAGGTTTTTAAATATGCAGATAGGCTAATATTAAATATGAGGAAATTAATTAAGATTAATTACACTTAAAAGTGGCACCTCATGCTAGTTCATAAAATGCTCTACCTGCAGAATATTTAGAGTGTAATTGGCCGTTATGTTTTGATATAAATCCTAGCCCCTATATTGCACAGCATAATTGCACAGCAGGTACAGTCCTGCAGATTGCTAAAAAATATGTTGTACTTTGCATGCTAGCCCTGCAAAATCTCAAGCACTTCCTGCATCTCCGCTTTAGTTCTCTCCTGGAGTGGTTGTGAAAGGTTGTTTCATGTATTGCTTTGTATCAGCATTAGCCACATCTGTCTATCTAGCCACAACGGCATCATAATAGCCCTTCCCTGGGATGTTCTAATGTCAGTGAAGAGGTGCGGGTCACTTCCAGTGACACCATATTTCTAACTGCACCGTCAGAGATGCACATTCTGACAGCTTTATCATGTATCCAGTTAACCGTGTTGACACTGCTCCTGGACTGTGGTGGAAGGATAAAGAAAATAGATTACCTCTTTAGTTGGGTGGAAAAAGAGATTTCCCCTGGGTAAAAGAAGATCTGAAGGAAAATTATCTTCTGTGAGCAAGAACAATTATTTTGCTTGTTGTGCCTAGGAAAATATGAAGAGAGGTTGTTTTGAAAAAGGAATGTTTGAGATACAGCGTGTGTCATCTCAGCACTGTTGATATTATTTCAGCAGTGCCAGGTTATTATAACAGTGTAGTCAGTAATACAATACTCAAGTTAACACTTCTGATGGAGCCACTGTGATTTCTACTGTGAGACACTCTCAGTCAAAAACATAAGATGAAAAAGATACTGTCCTCCATAATAACAAATCATGTGTTCCCTAATAACAAACTTAACCTTGTGGTTATAGTGAATTCAGTAAACTTAATTCTTGCCTTGGCAAGGGTGGCTGGATAAGTGTGCCTCATATGCACTGCAGGACTTCCAGTCTTTTCTATTCCTTACAGAAACCTTGAACCAGTGACATCCATATGTAAATAAGCATATTCACTCCCTGAAGGTTACAGGAAAACGTAGCTTATAAAGTAACTGATAAGTATGTTGTGAGACCTTATAGACAGGACTAGTGAGTGATAGAGCATTTTATTAGCAGAACAGTAGAAGGTGATGGGGAACATTTTAAGCCATGGCTGTAAACAACCTTTAGATCCTTCAGCCTCAGTAGCAATGGATTGATGATTTATTGAACCAGCAACTGTTTATTTGAAAACCCTTTATAAAGCATTTATAAATATACCATGCACAAAACAGTGACTCCCTAGTGCAGAAATTTAGAATAGCAATGAACCGTCCTAGAGACCGGAAAAATTAGGCCAGCTTCCAGAAAGAAGATAGTGTCCAAAGTGTTGGTTGTTGCAAGTTTTGGAAAGGTAAGGAAATTATGCCACTTCATAGCTGAGTATCTAACTGAAAGGAAAGACAAACTGGGAACCAGACTTATACGGAGTAATGGAAGACAAGTGATTGAGGTGTAGGCTTGGATGTGAACTGTAGAGCTTGGCCATTCATAAATTGGTTTCACATCCACTGTGGGAGATTTCTTTACCTTGGATTAGAAGCCTAACTCTTCAGCTGGGGTAGAGGATGTCAGTGGAGCTGTCCTTTTACCCGGTAAGACATGAGCTTCTTGTCTGATACGGGCCTGCTCTTTTTGCTGAAGATAGATGCGTCTGTAGAGCTTCAGTTTTTCTTCAGTCCTAACCAGAATGAAGTCTTCCCAGCATCTCTGTCACTGTGTTGTCCTTGCTGTTTTCATTCCCAGGTAATCTAAAAACTAATTATAAAAAAAAAAAAAAAAAAAAAAAGAAGAATTTGCAAGTGTTTGTGAGGCTACATACAAAGAGTTCTGTTTCATTAACTCCCACATCTTCAACACATATTTTCTTATGCATAATTATCTGTATTGCTCCAGGACTACCATTCTTAAAATGCTAGTGTTTTAACTCTCCCTGCCTTTAGCAAGCCATTTGTCTGATGAAATTTACCTTTTTCCCTAAGGTGAAGCAGATTTATTCTAATTGGATCAGGAGTTCTGTAGCAGAACTTCCCCTGTTTTCAAGATCATTCTTGAACTTTTAGGGAGGATCATTCCAAGCACGATCTATGCAGAGATGTATATGCCTCTGGGACTTGCAGTGCCTTCCCAGGTGCCGTGTGTGCTGGCATTCCTGCATTAACCTCCCAGCACAATTGGCAGTGGGAGCAATCACAAATTCAACTTATTTTAGCCTCATCTGTTTTCTCGGCTGCACTACAGACTGAGTACAAACTCCCCAGGGACCTTGCAGGCATCCCAGATGCAGCGTCAGCTGCAAGTATGAGCAAAGAGAAATGAGAAGGGCTTTGCAGCCATTTGCCCAACACCATGGTGTGGTGCAGAACTGCACGTGTTGCACTGAGGGATGCTGTGGGAGCTGCTCCAGCATCTTTAGTGTCTGGGGACACAGCCTTGGGGTATGCTTCCAGCACAAGCATGAGCTTGCTCACCCCCATCCTGCTGCCATCTCACTGCAGCAGGCATGTGTTGTTGCATTTCCCATTGTAGCCAGCCCTTAATGTTTATTGCATGCCAAATAAGTTTCAGCAGGTAGTAATATTTAATATGCATGAGTTCTCTTGGCCTTACTTAGCTGTGTTCCCAAAATCCCGTTTGTGCTGCTGACAGAGTTAGTGACTCTGAATGTCTTTTCTGATCTAGACACCAGCTTCATATTAAGCTGCATTTAGTCCTGGCAAGTAAAAGGCATAGTAAATTGGCAGGTTAGTTTTCCAAGACTTTCTTCAAGCTCCATTTTCAGAAGACATCAACATAAACGTTGCAGTACGGTACTCATGTAATGTCCATTATGGGGAAAGTTTGAAGCAAATCCTAATCCAGTCCCAGACACGTGTATGCCTTCAGCATCAGACTGATGAAATACCATCTCAGTAATGGCTGGAGAAGGAGGGTAATAGGCTGTTTGAAGTGCAAGAAGACAAAAAAGTTTACTAGAAATTAAGAGATACAAGAATTAATTCCAGAATTTTGAACCCGGTTCTAGTGAGTAATGCCAGCCATATGTGTCACAATACTCTAATTTGAACTTTTAATCACAATTAAGAGCACACAAATTAGGTATGACATTGTATGCTTATTGTCTTAGAGGCTCTGTCACTGATTGATAGTGTATATTTGTATTAGTAGTATTAGTGCTGAAGTAACACTCATATTTAACACAATTCACTGTGTTGACTTTGACTAACTACCTTCAGATACCACCAACCTCCAGTGTAATCAATAATCATGATACTGAATCATTTCTATGCCAACAGCTATGTTTATACTGGAAACTTCAGTACAAAAACCTCAGACTCCTGTGGTGTAGCTACTGCTGAATATGATAGCAATGATTGTCATACTTTTAAGCAATATTTGTTGAATCAGGTCAAGCAGCTCCTTGGCTGGTGTAAGCTCAGCAATGCACCAGCTAGAGATTAACCAGCTACTTGTATTTTTCAGAATCCCCTGCAAGGTATTTAATTTCATTTTGTGTATTCTTTCTCTACTCCTGTCATGTTCTCCCTCTTGGGGACAATGTAAATATTTCAAACCAACTTTATAAATGCTTCCTATGTTTCCAGCTAGACACCAGCTTCCATTTAAATACTTGTGCATGATCTGTGTCTGGCATGTGTCCCACGGCCCAGGCTGTGCTCACCAGCCTTTACACTCGTGGTTTTTCCAACTCTAAGTGATGCGTGTGTCTGACGGAGCAGAGCCATCTCTTTTTGTGCCTTCATATGCATCTGCTTTTCATCCCATCCATCATTACCACCCAAACACCCTCTTGGTCACAGGCATGGGCCATGGAGTACCACAAACTCAAACTGTCCCTTGCACAAATGAGCCCTGTCTCAACATCTGAAGAATGACTCCAGAACAAAGTGTGTTGTCCAGTTTGAGGATGCCCCATTAATTTAAAGAGTACAGCGGGAGAACAGGGGAGAAGGTGAATTAAGGAAGGGAAATCATAGAATCACAGAATGGCTTGGGTTGGAAGGGATCTTAAAAATCATCTGGTTCCAACCACCCTGCCATGGGCAGGGACACCTGTATGTATAATCCCAAATGTAACATCTGATCTGCCTTGGAGATAGAACTAGTTTCCTAGTGGACAGATTGCTCCGCTGGAGTCCCTCCTTCTTTTCTCTCTCTGCTGGGAATGGTCTCTAATGAGGAATTGTCTCTAACAAGGAAGGGCTCCCGTTGAGCCGAGTTGAGATTCAACCATCTGGCTCAAGCCTCTCTTCTCCCTCTGGTGCAATTGGCGCTGCCCGCAGAGGAGCAACGTGTTGTGGAAGGATAGGGAGGCATTGGCACATGAGAGTTGCTAAAATACCAATAGAGAAAATTCATGCCAGCAAGCACAAGAGATAAAACAAAGAAAAGTTCATTGATATCAGTCAGAAAAGGAGCAGCAGGAGAGGGCAGAGGGTGTGCAGAAAGGACGGCAGAAACACCTGCGTTGGAGGGCAGGGAAGTGCAGCTATGTACGCCCAGATACCAGCACAGTGCAGGAGGTGAAGGCGCAGGGTCTGCTGGCTGGGCCTGGGGAGTGGGCACCATCCTCCTGGCTGCCCAAAAGCCTTTAGTGAGGACACCAGTGCCTGTGTGCCCAGGCACTGTCCTCCCCTGGAGCTCAACCTACGTGCTGTGTTGGGGACTGAGGTGACACTTGTGCATGTCACCGCAGGTTTGATGAGATTCTTCATTTTGCTTATTGAAGCTTTTTTTCCTTGACTGCAGGCAGCAATGCGTTTGCGGGTACATGTGCTTGGGCAAGTGCAACAAGCAGATAGATGTGCATTGCTGAGAAACCCCTTACTCCTGGAGCTTTCAAACAAAAGCTTTCAAATGTAATTAAAAATTTGCAGGGGGAGAGTCAGATCTGAGGGGGGAGATACCAGCTTTGCTCTCCGCTTTATCTCTGAATGGAACCGTTCCTGCTGCTGGAAATGCAGCAAGAGAGAGCCCTGTGCTGCCTCAGTTTGAAGATAATAACTTTAATTTTAGCTCCGAATTCCTTTTTTTTCTTTTTTTTTTTCAAAGGCAGTCTGACCTCTGACTGGTAAAGTTACTGAATTGCTCCATCTGACGTGATGAGGGGTAGCTCAACAGGTGAGAGCTGAAGCAGTTTGTATGCAGGCAAGAAATGCAGGTATTAAGAGCAGTACAGGTCGTGAAATACAAATTATGTATCCTGTATAGAAAACAAAGCCAGACTTCTTCGTCTTTAAAGAAAAAGTGATGCTTAACTTCCTTTTAAAAAGCAGTGTTTTTCTCCTGGCTCATTTCACATGGAGGTTTGTTCTCTTTGCTTGATTAAATGTTAATCCAGCCCACCCTAAGAGTGTGCAGTTTCTTTTGTTAAGCTCTGGACTTCTGAACACCGTAGATGAAGGAGAGAGTGGCATCAATCACAGGCACAGCAAGAGCGGAAGACGGAAACCAGTGCTAATGCAATTAGCACATTTATTTGTCATGCATCAGAGGAGCTGAAGCCCTCCTTGGCACAGGAGCTCCGACTCCCGGCAGCAGCCCGATGGACCAGGTTGCTGCTGGGAGGGACCAGAGGCCTTGATCCCTCTGGAGGCAGGAGCTGGTGTGTCCTCTGTGCCTCAGCCCCGCTCATCCAGCCAGCCCTTGCACCAAGCTAACATCCTCTGAAGTCTTCACCTTTCCTCCCGCCAGCCTTGCAGGATGTCACCCTACTGTCCCCAATTGAGGTGGCAGTGCGGAGGCTCAGCAACACTCACAGGTGCTGAAAGTGACAAAGAATGACAAATGAAATCTGCAGTGCTCACATCGGGTGATGCCTCTCGGCTGCCCAGCCATAGCCAGAGGCCATGCAGCCCTTTCCTCGCTTGTCTGAGCTGTTCTCTGCAGCCGACATCCTCAGCTCCATTCAGTGCACTCCATTTACAGTCGCCATCTGTTCCCTTTAATGAGAGAGCTATCAATTTTTTTCACCTGATTACTGATTGTTCCAGACTATTGTTGATTGCTTTGTTTTATTAATTACTCATTTTGACATGCTGTATCTGTCCCTTTTGTTCCGAAAACAGATGCTCTTGTTTTCGAGCATCATTACTGATGGTTATTGCTAATAAGATAAAGCCGCAGCTCCAGTTTAACTGAGGGGCTTAACACTGTGGCTCCAGTTATTCTAGTGTTTCGTCACTGGATATTTTAGTCAAGCCTGAGAAAAATATTTCTTTTTTAGTGCCACAGGGGCTCACATCATTTGAAGGAAAGGGACTTTTCTGTGTTCTTTGATGCATAGAGCAATGGGGTCCATAGCTGTTGCTGTTCCAAGAGACTGTGATTAAGCAATCAACAATACTAATGTCATTGTGAAATCACTTACTCATCCCTGTTATTGTGGTTATGAAAGGCTGCAGGTTCCCATAAGAAACTTCTCAAGTCAAACTCATTTCCTCAGTGTGTTTGGAACTAAGCAGAAGTTGCTTTTCAGCTTGTCAGACAAGGTTCACCACGTCTTAAAAATGAAAATGTAGTGGTCTATTAGCAGCTGGGGAGGTAACAGCACTGCACCAGTTGAAAGAGTTTCCACTAACAGCTGCTATTTTAAAATACTGTCTCAGTATTGTGTTAATCCTTGGAAAAACTGTCTGTGTGTGGAGTCAAAATGGAAGCCACGTCATTGCTTTCTGCTGGAATTAGATACTCAGTTCAATTTTGAGGAAGTATTTATGAGGTGAAGTCAATTCTTGCAAAACATGGTCTCATTCTGCAACAAATCCGATTGCTGATACTGTGCTTTCACTGTGCTTATTCCCAGCTCCGGGCTCATGCGGTGGATATGAATGGAAACAAGGTGGAGAATCCTATTGACCTGTACATCTATGTGATTGATATGAATGACAACAGACCAGAGTTTATAAACCAAGTCTATAATGGATCTGTTGATGAAGGCTCTAAACCAGGTACAGTTGAAAAAAAGTCTTAAAAGTTTCACAGCCATTCCAACATGAATCTGGTGTGGTGGCTTCACCTCCTCTTGAGATAGAGGGAATGCAGGAGAGGTTTGCTGTTGCTAGCTCTTTGTTGAAGGCTGTTGGAGGTGAGAACAATCTAGCTAGTGTATCTATCTTTCTCTAGATGCAGAGAAAGTGCAGACTGGGGTAAGAGTGAACCTGGATCCTGGTGGTTCCTTCCTAGATGTGGAATTTGCAAAAGCAGCAGTTTTGTAGAATAATGCTCTGTGTTGCCATTCTCACGTGTTCAGGGTTGTTAGTTTAACTAGAAAGTGCTGACAGCCAACCTGGCAGTGGCCGTTCCCTGACCTTGTGCCTGAAATGCTGAGTATCTGCCTCTATGATACTTAATCTCGTCATTTGCTAACTCAGTATCTGGTATCCACTCCAAAGAGGTCTCTGTGAAGGTGTGAAGATAATCCTTTCTTATCTGGGGCCAGATGGAAACCTGTTGAAGTGGGAATGTTCCCACTGAAATAGTTGATTCACCCTCCACCCTGTGGACTTTCTTATGGAGGCAGAAATGGGGGAAAACAATTTGTGGGTGAAAAATTAGTGAGGGAGTAAGCTATATGCAGAATACAAGTGATGATTTTTACATGACCATGTTTATATTCTTGGAAAAATACAGTTATAAGGGTCTTTCATGTTTTCTTTTCAACTATATTGTTGATTTATTATTTAAGTGCAGTGTAACCTTGCAGTTTCCAATATTGGTAGCAGGGTTGTTTTAGCTTATTGCTAAGCATAAGTAATCTGAGCATATTCATTCTCAGAACATAAATTATACTGTGAAAACTGTCAGCAGTACAATTGGAAGCCTCCTGAAATCAGAGGCAGATTTTTCCAAGGTAGATTTTATCCTCAGTTGTTTGTTGGCTGAGGGGGTTGAACCCCGTCTGACATTATTTGGTGTCAGCAAACATTTATCACGGCTTCTCCCTCGCCTGAGGTGTCATAGGAAAGTCTCTGGGGGCCACTGGTTGTAATCAGGTGATTACAGGCATGATTGATTGTCTTTCAGCACTGTGAGGAATGGGCTACTGTGATGGCATGCAGTGGGAACAGAGCGTGATCTTATTTTTGAGGAAATAATAGGTACAGCTCCGTTCCTGATGTGCTTTGAGTGGTGATGTACTGGCTTCGAAGTGCTGATCCTGGTCCTGCCCAGCACAGGGGATGTGAGAAGTCCCTGAGCTGATGCTTCTGTTGACATCTACCTAGAGGGTTTTCTGGCTTTTGTTTGAAGGCCACTTAGGGGCATATCAGGGTTTGAAGACTGATACAACACTTCCATAACAAATCATATTTCTTACATCTTATTCTAGGACAGATCAATATTCAAAGTGTTCCCAAATGTTCTAACTAGCTCTGCTCATTTGTGTGAAAGAAGCAGTAAATTGATTGCATCCTCTTCTTGTCTGAAATCTAGATAAGCCTTTGTGCTATTAAATCAAAGTAGGATAATTTTGCCTACAAAATACTTCTGCCTCTTGCTTCTATCAGTGATTTTTGGTGTTTTGTATCTCAGGCTGGAGTGCCTGCCTTTAAGGCAGGCAGGTAGAAAGCAATCTGGTTTTATTCAAAAGCAATTACATTTGTCTTTGATGTGTTTGTTGGGTCTTGGGTTTTTTTTCCGTCTTTCCTGCTTAATCGCTGTTCTTTTAAAGGTTTATATTAGTATTGAATTGCTGTTCTTAGCTTCTGTAGATCCTCATGGGAATTCGGGTATCTGAGGCCCTCATTCCATGTACTTAGCAATAAACACGATGCTGTGTCTTTGAGAAAGTGATGGAGAGGTCACAGAGTTTCTGTGGAGGTCTGCATGCTCCTCCTTTGCCACAGAGTTCCGTATCCCTGTTCCGTATAGAGACAAGCCTAGACAATGTATTCAGCTAAGCGTAGATCTTGCAGAGATTTGGAAACATTTTTATAGTTCAGGATGCTTCAGAGGACTATAGTAACGAAGGAGGTGCCACACCAGCCGTTGCCAGAATAAAAATATGCAGCCAGAATTCATGATTATTTGTGGCACTGGTCGACAAATGAAAGACATTGCATATTCCTGGAGGTAACGGCAAAATGTGTTCAATATTGATTCAACAGTATGTTATATATGTCTATGCATCTATAAATATGTATATGCATATGTGTGTATATCCATGTATAAAGTACAAATTTGCTTTAAGCAAACTAAAAAAATCTTATATGTTCAGCATTCATTTTCCACTGTTCATTGCTACTCAACTGTGCCTGAGGACTAAAAATGCTTCCCTGGATATCCTGTACAATTGTTATTTCTCACATCTTCCATATGCCCATTTATAATGGCTGCGATTAAAAATGCAGTGTTACTCGATTACCACAGTATCTGCAAGGTTCTTCATAATTTTGCACACCTCTGATGAGAAAAGTAGTGTGTTAGAGTATCCCAGATAAGTGCTGACTCTGAGGGCAGCTAATGTGAGCAGCCAGTGATTGGGTGAAGTCAGTAGGAATTTTGCCCAGATTTAAAAAAAAAAAAAAAGAAAAGAAAACTGGGACATACGGAGCTGAAGCTCTACCCATGGAAATTTTGAAGAACAAGACCATCAGAAATATGCTGTTGAGCACAGACTAAGCAGGGTGCAGTGACCTTGAGCTGTGGGGAAAGCCCTGTAAAGCTTTAGCAGGATCAATAGAACAGATACCATTCAAAGTGAACAGGAAGGGCTCAGTGGTGCTGTCAGAGCACACCCCAGGGTAGAGGGCAAAGCACCTGGAGTGCAGGCAGGGCTATGTCTCTGAGGATGCTGCAGTACCAGAGTCAGCGTGGTCCCCTTGTAGCAGCCAGGATGCTGTGAGCTGACTGAGAGCACTGTGCCTCATCTCTGACCCTTGTAGGACAGCTGCAAATTGTTCCTGGCCATGGCAGGGGATGCAGGGTGGCCAAGGAAGATGTGACCTACTGACTCAACACTGAATAAGCCAAAAGGAGGTAGAGTGAACCAAGAAAATGCGGACGCAGGAAGGATGTGTACTCCAACCTGTGGCACAGTGTGATCCTGCTGGGCATTTAGCCTCCCACAGAAGAAGCAAGTTTGCTTTAGCCTGAAAGACAAATATCCTCCAAAAGGGATTGTCCAAGAGCTGTAAGAATTGGCAGCAAGGTGAAGAGACTCATTTGAGACAGTTTGATGGAGTTTAAGTGAAGGGGTTCCCAGACTGCAAAGTACTCAGGCTGCCTGGGTTTCCAAAGAGTGTGCTCTTTGCAGTGTGCAAGTCACCTTGAAGCAACCCTTGACAGGAATAGAAAAGAAATCATCAAGTATTATTAATTAAAATAGGTTGTTGTTGCTGGTTAAGATTATAATAACTTAACTGAAATAGTGTCTTACACCATGGCCTAGTGTTCTTGAAATCAGAAGCTCATTCTTCGTGGAGTAAAGTCCTCTGTAGTGCAAACACTTGTGTCAAAGCCTGGCCCCTGTACATCTTCAAATGTGTGCTGGCTCTTAAACTGAATTGCATTTCTTTCTCCTTTTCTGACACTCTCTGGAAAACATTTTAATGCACTTCTAGCTTATCTAGCCTAAGGTCATGCAGCTGGACAATTTAAATGTGCAAATGCAGACCCTTCCAAAAATGCAGAACAGGAATAGTGATGCAGGGTTTTCTTTTCCAAAAGACCATCTTTCTTCCTTTACTCTCTCCCTCCACGAGCTGTTTTGATTTAACACGACACTGTTTGAAAGTGTATCTTAAAAGACCGTGTTTTACTCATATTGAATAATGTTCTGCCTCTTTGAACTTTGCCTCTATATGAAGAACACAGCCAACTTTTAAAAATGCAGCTGCAAGCTCGAGCTGAAATCCCCCTGGTCCCTCTGGCAGCCTTAATCAGCAGAGTTCTCCTGGAGCTGCAGAACTTGCCTTTCAAGCACCGATAAAGCGGGATGTGTTGCACGGCTTCGCTGCCCAGCGCTGCCTGCCCTGAGAGGATTCTGCTGCCTTTTCAAAGCCCACGTCTCTGAGCTGCAGTGTGCAAGCTCCACCACCTTACAGCAGAAAGGAGCTGGGGCCTGGGGTCTACAACACCAATTACTGCTTGCTGTAAGCCCAGCCCTGCACTTGTACCTCTGAGCTTGCAGCATCCCAGGGGTGTCTGTGGGGAGTGCTGTTTCAGAAGAAATTCTACAGGTTTTGCTCAATAAGATAGAATGAAAATGCTTAGATGTAAAAGAAAAAAGGGGAATTTAATCACAAAACAAAACCATGATCGAGAGAAGTTGTTTTCTTCACTGCAGAAGCTTAGTTTTGATATAATCACCACAAAATGTACCTTATGGTAGAATGTGGATGTCTCACTTAACTGAAGCATTCAGTTCTGAAAAGGTCAATGTGAAATGCACTGCAGCGACTCGAGTGCTTTGCTCTGAGTTGTATCTATTTTGTTTTAACAGAAAGATTGTCAGAAATTAACACATCTCTCCAAAATAATTTGTTCTTGTCAGACTGGCCTTTTCCATTCCCATTCATCCTTTCCACTTCACTAACTTTCTGAATACATCTTTCAAGTCAAAAGCGGGAGTCCAAGTAGCTTCTTTTAAAGTAGAGTTTCATCCAGCTCTTTCTTCCTCATGTTGCTGTGTAGGATAGTTTCCTCCTGCCACCCTCCCTGGGAGTGGTGTGAATGATGCTAAGTATGGACAGTCCTCCAAAACAAAGGAATATTAGTATTTCTTACATGAGGAATGATGTCATTTAAAATCTCCCAATCTCCTCCTGATTTCATGGAACTCTGATACAATAATTGTTGATGGCATGCCATGTGAAAAATGGAATAGCTGGGAGCCAAATCTATATGTGGCAAATTAAGTTTAAAGAAATCTCATAAAAATAAGCACTATATAAAAACCCAAGGATTTCAAAAGCCGATTATTCTACTAGTGTCCCAGTTTGTTTATTTT